TATCATTATCTTATCACATACCGAGAAACAAAAACAAAAGATATTTAAACTTTTAAATATATATATATGTACGTAATATCTAATTTTAAAAATTCGATTACATCGATATCGTTTTAATTATTTAAATATCTTTTCTTTTTTTTTTTTTTTTGTAATTAGAAAAACAAATTTTAAATGAAACTTACCGAGTTTTCTTTGCCGGAAAATTTCCAAGTAAAATCCTATAAAAATTCTTTTTTTTAATATTACTGGCACTTTATATTTTTCCCGCCACTTTAAACAAAAATCACTTTTTTTTTTTTTTTTTTTAATCGATTATGTTTGTTTTTAATAAACGTTTCACGTTACCGAAAAATAATAATAATTAATAAAAAGAAAATTACTTATTAATAATTTAAAAAAAAAAAAAAAAAAATACCTACGACACCCACGATATAAAATCAAACTAACCGAAAAAAAAAAAAAAAACTTGAAGGGTGCGCAATAATGTACAACATGTGTGCGCCGAGTTGAAAAGTTATTTCGTAATAGTTCGATAAATTGACGCTCGCAGCGCTCTACGACGAGTAACAACACCATCTTGCGGATTTTTTATAAACTAAAACGCCATCTCCCTCATGAACTTTTTTAATCTTTTTTTTTTTTTTTTTGGGAACCTGTAAATTGAATATCACATTCAGTATATGAATTTAATTCTTGCTGAAAAGAAATAATAATAATAATAATAATGATAACCACAAAACAAAACAAAAAAATAAATGAAAAATGTGGGAACTCATAAAAATAATGTACCTTCCTAAAATCCTATTGCAAAAGAGCAAAGACCTTTTATATGAGAGAAAAAAAAAATACAACTTTTACCTTCTTGGTAACAATAAATTTTTCTTTTCCTGTTTTTTTTTTTTTTTTTTTTTTTTTTTACTCGTACGAGTTAATGAAATTCTTAAAATTATTAAATTGTCATATCACGACAAATAATAATTAACGTTTATTTATATTATCATCATCATCATCATCATAATTAAATTAATAAATAAACGTTATTAAAAAGTGCAACACAACAAACGTGAACATTTTAAATCATAATTTTACATATAATACCATTCAAAAACATTTTTTTTTTTTTTTGTTTAAAATACGTTTTTTGATTTTTAAATATATATATATGTATCAACGTGTTATTATCGTATAAAATTTAAATATTATAATAATAATAATATTTCATAAACTTAAAGTTTTTTTTTTTTTTTTAAAAAAAAAGACACAAGAATTTATTCATCTATCATGACATTATTTATCTTTTCCTTTATCACGATTATATATTAAAATTATGAATTAAAATGTTTGTTTTTTGTCCAGACACACACACACAAATTCAAGGTGAAAAATGTTATTGCATAATAATGAAATTATAAAAAAAAAAAATAAAGTTACATTTCAATCCCTGGAAGATGTCCAGTCCTTATAATATGACAAGTTTTTTGTGCCAATAATATCAGTGAATTGTATTTTATGAAATTCTTTAACTCTTCACCTAAAAAAAAAATAAAAAATAATTAAATTAATAAACCAACTTGAATAAAAAAAATAAAAAGTTTTTGTCATAAATATTTACATTTCTCATAACTGTTTTCTCATCATGAGTGTTATTTAAATTTCAAATAATTGCAAATTCATTTAAATTGAATTAAATAAGATTGAGTGTAGTAGCAGAAGTAAATAAATCAATAAGTTCCATGTTAAAAACTCTCTTGTAAAAAAAAAAATTTTTCTTCTTCAAATGTCAAACCCTTGTTTGAAGGTATTCACAGGTCATTTACACTTATTTTATTAATTGATTGATTTTATCATCATCATCATCATCATCATCCTACATTCATATATCGATCGGCCCTCCTTGATTATAGTTAATATCTATAAACAAAAAAAAAAAAATAATTTAATTAATTCTGAAAAAAAAATGATAGCAAATGAAATAAAATTGAACAAGAAAATGCTTTATTTGCTAATGATATGTTATGAAAGGGAGGAGGACCACACACACACATATAGAAAAAGAGAAGGAAGAAGTGGATGAAGGGTGTAAGGAAGGGATGATTTTTTTATCCAAATATTAAAGGATAATCTATCAGGAAATTACATTCAATTCTTCCCCTTTTTTTTAAATAGATATTTTTATATCATTTATGTTGCATTATAAAACTTCATCAACTACCTGAAACAATTAATAATTAACCACCAAATCAAAAAAAATAGAAAGTTAATCATCATGACTTTAAAAGAGTTATAAATAATATTATTTATGTATTTTTTTCTTTATAATTACCTACCTCTTGGTTTATTTTAATAAAAAGTATACAATTAAGCAATTATATTACATTTTTATTATAGTTTTATAAACTTTTATAGTAATAAATTTTATATATTAAAACTTACATCATGGCATCATCAAAGTCAAATTCAAATTCAAATTATAATTATTATAAAAATTACAAATAAGTTACAAATCAAATCATTTCTTTTATATTATGTTTTTTTCTTAAAAAAAATTCTGCAGTATGATATTTTACAAATAAATATGAATTATTAAAATCAAACGTGATGAAATTTTTTATTACATAAGTTAAAATGTCTTTCATTTGAATTCGTTTTATTATATATATATATATTTTAAATTAAACGTATATTTGAATCGAAAACAAATATTTTATTAATAAATTTTAATTTTATCCTTCCTTGGCAATAAAAATTATGTTAAAAAACAAAAAAAAAAGGAAAATCAACGCTATGAATTATAATTACCCTTCTTCGAAGCTTCTAGAAAGTAAAATGGCCGACTCCGTGAATCGAGTATCATTTGATAAATTCTGCTTATGCTAACATAAAAAAAAATGTTTGGCTCATTTTTAACCTTAAAAAAAATGTCGTTGGAAGAAAAAAAAACTCAAAATAAAAACCTGATTAAACAAAAAAAAAAATGTCAGCATTTTTAATAGATATGGGACACGAGGAAGCTGCGATAATTTTTTTTTTTTACTTACTTGAATAAAATAAAATTTTGAAGTTAACGGATTTGGAATGCGTATGTTGAAGCCACCGCCTTCTAAAAAAAAAAAAAAAAGTAATTAACCGCCAGAATTTTCATTGTTGCAATTAATTTTTTGAAAGTGGTGACGTTTAAGCAACGCATTTGTAAAATTAATTTGAATAATAAATAATTTTTAGCGCAATTTAACAAGTAAAGAGTGTAATAAAACTGTAAGAGGTAATATTAAATTTAATCTTATTAATTATATAGTTTGATTTTCAATTAAAAAAAAAAAAAAACTTCATTTGTCATTTTTCATATAGTAGCTTCTTGATTGCTCAACCCTTGAAATAATTTTATGTGTCCATGAGAAGACTATCAAGTAAAAAAAAAATATATTACTTTAATCAAAAGGCAATGGTGGAAATGAAACAACAACCGAAACCTTATTAACTTAAGATAAGCATTTCGACAGTGATAAAGTTTAATTGTTGAAGTTAACTTTGATAGGCCGGAACTTTCTGGAAATCAGGTAAGATGGCCGCCTTTTTTTCCCCTCATTTTATTTTGTGTTTTAATTTTTACTTCGATCTGTAAATGTTTTGCAAGTTGATATTTTTTTACAAAAATATTTTTTCATTGTTATTATTATTATTTTTCGTTAATATTCAGGTTTAAAAAGGTTTTAAAAAAAAAAATTAAACTTCATAAAATAATTAATTACATTTTGTATACCAAATGAGAAAAAAAGAAACCTTTTTTGTTTGCCATTATTTGAATAATACAAAGATGTGTTTGCATGTTCAGGTATCATTTGTAACAACAGGTACAAGTTTTTTTTTTTTCAAAAAAGTATATGTGTGAGTTCAATTCAAGGGTATTATAGAAAATATAATTAATGAAATATAATTTGGTTGGCGTTAAGACCACTCACTCACTATTACTTTATCAATATAATAAAAATTTCTTTTGTTCAATCAAAAACACAATTCATAAAAAATTAAATGGTGATTATTTTGTTTAATTTATTACTTTATTGTCATGCATTTTATTTATTTAATTCATAATAATAATAAATTATTATTATTATGTATCACAAAATTGTTTGAATTGAACAGTTGGAGTTATTCAACCACATATCTATCAAATATAATTCACTATTTAAAAAAAATTTGACACTTAGGATTTGCAATACATGTACACACACACATGCACACACACAAACACACACACACATGCACATACATGCACACACACACACACACAAACTTGCACACACACACACACACACACACACATAAATTTTCATTTAGTATCATATTTTAATTTTATTTAATTTTTTTTTAAAACCTTTACATATAGTAAACAACTCTTCTGATAATAAATTTGTTTTTCTTTTTCAGCACAATAAAATCATAAAGGTATATATATGAAAAAAGGAAGCAAATAAATTATGAACATGTTAAGATGTTTAAATTCATCTCTTAGTAGAAGAAGAAGAGGAGGAGGAGGAGGAGGAAGAAGAGGAGGAGGAATATTATTTAGCGATATACAAAATAATGGCGAAACAATAATTAAAACTATTTCCATCGATGAAAGTAACGTTAGTTTAATTAGTTATTTTATTTTCGTATAAATTTTTTTTTTTTATACGATAATAATATAAAATAAAAAATTTTAATTAACTATTATAAATTATAGAGAATTAAAAAAAAAATAAGAAAAAGTTAATTAAAATTTTTTTTTTATTATTTACAGGGGATTATTTAAATTTAACAATTATAAAAAAAAAAATTCATTGTGTAGGATATATTTATTCCTATTTCTTCGATTCAATTATTTAAAAAATTAATTGTTTATAAAAAAAATTTTTTTTAACCTTGATATTGAAATTTTTGCAAGACATCTTGAACCGGCATGTGTGTTAACATTTCAATTAAAATAATTTTTATTAAAAAAAAAAAAAATTTCGATGTTACAGGGCGTCGAATCGACAGACAACAATTTAACATCGGTAAAAAATGAAAAAAATTACGCCGAAGGATTACAACAAAAGGAATTGAGAATGATGCAAGGGAAATATATGAAAAATAATGATGATTCAACTGGAAAAATTAATAAATTTAATGGAGAATTATTATGTTTTCTCACGGAAAGTCCTTTTCGAATACTTAGAGTAAGTGTAAAAAAATTTCATAGGGTATACATAGGTCGGGAGATATCCAGAGATGTCGTCTTAAACATTACAAAGATTTTGTTATTAAAAAAAGAAAGCATAAACACGATCATGATAAACACATCGTAATAAAAAATTAATGAATAAGAACGGAGAGGGAGAGGGTGGGGAGGGAGGGAGAGAACAAACAAACGCGCACGCATGTACGCATTTTGATACGCATCAGACACTCCCAATTGGTTTCAATCGTTTTTTTTTTTACTTTTTTTCTTTTCCAAAAAACCTTGACCCTCCTCAATTATATATACATCACGAAACGACGAAATATGTATTTTTATGTAAAAAAATTATTATTATTATTATCATTATTGCATGACGGAAATTAATTTTTTTTTATTAAATTTAATTATTTTTTGTTTTTTGCGAGTTATCAGGGCCGTGGTCACTATAATTCAGTCTCGAATAACCCCAAAAAAAAATAAAAATAAAAAAATAAAAAAATTTTTTTACAACTTGTTGACCAATGTCTTGTGTGTGGGTGTGTGTGTGTGTGCGTGCCTGCGTGTGTGCGTGCGCGTGAAATTTATCTTAAATTAATCCGGGAAAAATATATGTGTATGACAGATGACTATTTCCGGGCGGATATGCTTAAATATAAGACGAATTTCGGGGGGGGGGGTTGGGGGAAAGCGGAGGGTAGTGTGAAGGAAAATTTTTTTTTATATGAAATTTTCCGGCAGACTTTAAGGAAAATAGAAAAATTTTGTTAGTTCCGATTTTCTCCACAGGTGGTTTTGGACCAATTTTCAAATATCTCATAACAACAGTTTCCTGTTGTTATCAGATGTATTCGTGCGATGATAAATCATCATCATCATCATTATTAAATAAATCGGTGAAAGATAATATTTTATTTATTTATATTTACTTATCGATATTATCGTTACCTCGAACTCGTATTTTATTTTTTTTAATAAATAATTAATAATTATTTTATTATTTAATGGATTTATTAACTGTGTAAAATCAATTTTAAATATTTGTGTGTTTATTATTCGAAAGAAAATTTTTTTTTTTTTTTGGAAAATTTCTACGTCATCGAGTTAAATTTTTCATTTTGCTTTTTATGACAGACGAATACTCTACGAAACGATTATTTTTTTTATCATTCGTTATTTTTTTAATTTTTTTTAAAAAAATTTATTTCCGCGAAAGTTTTCTTTTCTTTTCTTTTCTCTCTCAAAAAAAAAAGTGAGGAAAAGTTTTTCTAAAAAGAAAATATCCGAAGAATAAAAAAAAAAAAAAATGAAGAAAATGTGAATGATTTTGACATTTTATTATAAGATTTTTAACATTAACATCTTTAAATATAATAAATATTATTTATAAAAAGAGAAAAGAAAAGAAAAACTTTAAAATTTATAAGAAGGATAGAAAAAGGAAAAGGAAAAGGAAAGAGAAGGAAAACACACAAAAAAATTTGAAAACCGAACGATGGGAAAATTTTTTTTTTTTTTTGAAATTTAAGATTTTTTTTTTTTTAAATTAAACCCGTTGCCAGTTAATTAGTCTCTTTATAACAGTCGTTTTACTCTCTCTCTGGATTAACACCCCCCTTCCCCCCCACAATAAAAAAAAAATTTATAAAATTTAAGCGTAAATTAGGGGGGAAGAAAAAAGCAAAAAAATTTTAACGAAAAAGGGATAAACAAACAAACAGAGACACAAAAAAGATTTAAACCTTTCTAACAACTTATTCAAATTCTAAATCAAAGAAAATTATTATTATTATTATTATTATTATTATTATTATTATTATTATTATTATTATTATTAGTATTATTATTATTATTATTAAAATGAAAAAAATTCGTTTTTTTTTTTACTTTTAAATCTTATGAATATTTAACAAGAGATACACATTCAAATATTTTATTTTTTTATTTTTTTTATTTTTCAAAGGTTGGACACGAACGAAAACGTGAATTTGGAAACTAAAAATTATGAGAAGAAAAAAAGAAAGAGAGAGAGAGAGGACGAGAGAGAGAGATAGAAAAATTTATTGTTTTTAAAAATCAGTATAAATCAAATCGTACCTGACAAATTTAGCAATGGATACGTTAACAAGAATAAGGAAAAAAAACCTGAAAATAAATAGTAGGAAAAAGTTTATATCCGGTACTGTTTTTATATCGATAGTTATTATTATTATTATTATTATTATTACGTTCACGTTATTATTATTATTATTTTTTGAAAAATTTTAATGCTATTTAAATACTTTTGGGGGTTGACTAAGTAATGAGAAAGAGAGAGAGAGGGAGAGAGGGAAATTTTATAAATGTAACAACAAACTCACGCAATTTTATTTAATCTCAATGAAGACAAACAAACAACAACCACAACCACGAAAGCAAAAATTTTCTTTTGTGCGAAAAAAAACATGAGAAGGAAAATAACAAAAAAAAAAATTTTTTTTGTTCTTTTCATTCGATTGTGTGTGTGAGTGTGTGAGTGAGTGTTGTTGATCGATGTATTTTTAGATTCAAAATAAACTTTCTTCTTTGTAAAAATCTGTCGGGAGAGTAAAAAAAATTCCCCCCCCCATCCCCCCATCCCCCCACTCGTTCGCCATTTAATTTTCAAAAAAATGTATATATATAAAACACAAAACAAAAAAAGAAAAAAGTTTATCATAAATTTTGATATTATTTCAAATCGGCTTATTATTTATTAATTTTTTTTTTTTTTTAATAACTAAAACAAACGAACAAACAAACAAACAAACAAACGCAATCGTGCACGCATGCGTGAACTAATGAATTATTAAAATTTATTTTTTTTTTTTTTTTTAAATTTTATTCGATCATCCATTAATAATATTTTACTTTAAATTTTTTTTATTAAAACTCATCGACCGATTTAAATTTATTTATTATTATTATCATCATTGATGATAAATTTTTATTTATTTATTTTTGATCTCGATTATTAATAATAATAATAATAATTAATAATTTTTTTTGTTTTTTAATAAATTTTTCGTTGGGTTAATAATGACGACACGATCATTTATTTAATTTTAAAAAAAAAAAAATGGCGTAGAAAAGATTTTAAGGTTTTTTTCGCAAGGTTATAGGGAGATGTAATTAATGGGTCGTGAGGAGAGGGGGGGGGGTAATTAAAAAGGGGGGTGTAGATGGTTAATAATTAATTCGTTTGTTTTTCTCTTAACTTTAAGAAATGGAAAGAATGAAAAATATGACGAATTTGCGGTTGTTGCTGTTGTTGTTGTTGTTGTTGCTGCTGTTTGTCTTTTAATAATTAATTAATTTTAGAAAAAAAAAATCCATTGGGAAATTATTTAAAATTGTTTGTACCATGAAAAAATATTGATTAACTAATGAAAATGTTAATAATAATAATAATAATAATAACAACAACAGCAACAACAAAAACAACAACAATCGCAAACTATAAAATTATATATTGAATTATGTTTCCTTTTTTTCGAAGGTTTTATCATTATCATCGTTATTTGTATTATTATTATTATTATTATTATTATAGTTTTGAAAAAGGAAAGAAAAGGTTTCGAATAAAATTTTTGTGTTTATGACCGACAGGAACGAGATTTTTATTAAGTAAGGTTCTTTAAAATCGAACGAATCTTATTTCAAATCCATAATTCGTGTTATCAAATCAAATATTATTATTATTATTATTATTATTATTATTATGTACGTACGTAATAACGATGGGAAATTTATGAAAAAAAAAAAAAAAGGAAAAATTATTATTATTATTATTATTTGTTTTCATTTCATTTCATTTTTTTTATAAAATCGATTAGATTTCAATTAATTTTATTATTTTTATTATATATATCTCATGAGATTTTTTTTTCGGGAGGGGGAGAGGGGGAGGGGAGGGGAGGGGAGGGTTTCCCTCCAATCATTTTATTTTGAATTGAAAAGTTTTTTATTATAGGAGATCAAGTTGTTCGTTCGGGCAGGTTCGGGCAGAAGAAAAGAAAACTTCGATAATATAAAATAATAAGAAAAATTTTTTTTTTCTAAACAGGAACGACATTTTGTCGCAAGTTTAAAAAAACTATTATTATAATATTTATTTATTACGTATAAGTGTTAAAAAAAAAAAAAAAACAAAATGGTTCCTCTGAGAGACAATATAAGAAATTTTTTACCTAATTTTATATGTCGAAGAGATACGGTGACACCGAAAGTCACACCACCGACAATTGTCGTTAGAAATTGGAAAAAAGTTTTATTAGGTTTTCCATTTTCACAAAAATTATCTCCCGACGAACTCATAGAGGTATGTCCTCGATTTTCATTTTTTATAATAATTATTACTATCATTATTATCATTATTTTTCTTGTTTTTGGTACGCAGGCAGCTGAAAGTGGAAATCTAGAAGATTTCGGTAGATTATTTATGGCGGATCCGAACAGATTAGAAATTCGAGATTCGAAAGGTAGAGCAGCAGCTCATCAAGCAGCAGCAAGAAATAAAGTCAATATTTTACAATTTATACATTCGCACGGCGGTGGTAATTATTATTATTGTTATTATTATTATTATTTACCGCTGGAGGGAATATATATATATATATATTTTTTTTATTTGAACGAACGGTGATTTAGATAATATTTTTCACACGTCAAAGATTTTCAATTAATGATATTCGATGACGTATCATTTCGATCATTTTTCCCTTTTTTTTTTTTTCAGATCTTAACATAAGAGATTATGCCGGAAATACACCTTTACACGTGGCCATTTTAAACGATTCTTATAACGTTATGGATTTTTTATTGCAATGGTATGAAAAATTAAAAAAAATTTTACGTACGTGCCACGCACGTACACACACACACGTGTGTGTACGTATGAGTCTCAAATAAGGGAAATTTTTGATTTCAGCGGCGTAAACACGAGTATTTTAAATGAAAAAAATCAAGCACCGATACATTTGATAACGGAATTGAATAAAGTCAAAGCACTCGAAGTATTGAGCAAACATCGTTCGAAAATAGACATACAACAGGGTGGAGAACACGGGAGAACGGCATTGCATTTAACGGCTATTTACGATTACGAAGAATGTGCCAGAATACTGGTACGTTATTAACGTTTCAAAAAAAAAAAAAAAAAAAAAACGGTGAGACAAAAAATGAAAAAAGAGAGAGAGTGAGAGTGAAAAAATGTTTGTTAATTACTTTGTATGTTTTCAATGAAAGATCACCGAATTTGGAGCATGTCCGAGAAAACCATGTAATAATGGATACTATCCGATACACGAAGCAGCTAAAAATGCATCGTCGAAAACGATGGAAGTTTTTTTACAATGGGGAGAATCTAGGGGATGTTCGAGAGAGGAAATGATGAGTTTTTACGATTCCGAAGGAAACGTACCACTTCATTCGGCCGTACACGGAGGAGATATAAGAGTAAATTTTTTTTTTTTTTTAATTTCAATGTGACAAAATTAAAAAAATTGAACGAAAGCCAGAGAAAAAGAAAAAAAAAATGAATTTTAATGTCAGAAATGTGGATTCATTCAAAAAAAAAAAAGAAATATTTACTACGTTTTTTTAATGTAAATAATTTTTTTTTCTTCTTCGTTTCGAAAGAAGAAGACGAGAGATAGAGAGAGAAAGAGAGAAGGAGACATTTTGTTTTTTTTTAATTAAATTAAAGTACTCACCCGGTTAATTTTTTTTTGCACCTTCAGGCTGTCGAACTCTGTTTGAAATCCGGTGCTAAAATATCCACGCAACAGCATGATCTATCAACGCCCGTTCATTTGGCTTGTGCTCAGGGTGCCATAGAAATCGTTCGTCTCATGTTTAAAATGCAACCCCACGAAAAAGAAATATGTTTAACTTCTTGCGACGTACAAAAAATGACACCCTTACATTGTGCCGCCATGTTTGATCATCCTGAAATAGTAGAATATTTAATATCAGAGGTATATTGGATAAATTTATTATTATCATGAAGCGAATGAAAACTTTTAAAATGATAATTTTTTTGCGTTTGCGTTTTTTTCCAGGGAGCTGAAATCAATCCACTGGATAAAGAAAATAGATCACCTTTACTACTTGCCGCTTCTAGAGCCGGATGGAGAACAGTTTTGACATTGATTCGACTCAAAGCAAACATTCTTCTCAAAGATTCCAGTTACAGAAATATATTGAGTTTGGTCGTCATGAACGGTGGAAGATTAGAAGATTTCGCACAAGAAGTGTTGAAGGTTTGTTCGTTTTCGATCGAATCATTACGACGTGATACGACGATTATTTTGGCATTTTCAGGTACAATCTAAAAAGGATCTCCTTTTGCTTCTCAATGAAAAAGATATATCCGGGTGTTCGCCGCTTCATTACGCGAGTCGAGAAGGCCACATAAAATCTCTTGAAAGTTTGATCAAGTTAGGAGCTTGCATAAATTTAAAAAATAATAATAATGAAAGTCCTTTGCATTTTGCTGCAAGGTACGGTCGTTACAATACCGTAAAACAACTTTTGGATTCTGAAAAGGGAACTTTTATAATTAACGAATGCGACGGTGAAGGTTTGACTCCGTTACACATCGCTTCAAAAAATGGTAAGAAAATCGTTGGTTTAATTTTTTAATATGAGAATTAATTATTCGGTTATTATCATCATCATTATCGTTATTTTTAGGACATTCGAGAGTTGTCCAATTACTTCTTAATCGTGGAGCATTACTCCACAGGGATCACTACGGAAGAAATCCTCTTCATTTGGCTGCCATGAACGGTTACACGCAAACAATGGAACTCCTTCATTCGGTTCATTCCCACCTATTGGATCAAGTGGACAAAGATGGAGTAAGGAAAAGCGGAAAATATTCCATTTGTACAATTTACGAACGCGGTTCGTTTTCCTATCGTTTTTGTTTTTTGTTTCGACAGAACACGACGTTACATTTGGCATCGATGGAAAACAAACCGAACGCGATATCGTTGCTCCTTTCGTTAAATTGCAAATTGCTGTATAATTATTTAGAAATGAGCGCCATTGATTATGCCATTCATTATAAATTTCAAGAAGCCGCACTCGCGATGGTGACTCATCCGACGCGATCCTGCGAAGTGATGGCACTAAAATCGGATAAGCATCCGTGCGTGACACTCGCACTCATAGCATCCATGCCGAAAGTATTTGAAGCCGTACAAAATGGTTGCATAACAAAAGCGAATTGTAAAAAAGATTCAAAATCCTTTTACGTCAGTCGACATTTTTAATTTTTTTTTTTTTTTTTTTTTTCATCCACCGGAAACGAGGAAAAAAAAACCGGGAAAAATTTGAATTTTCTGATTTGTTCCAGGTTAAATATCATTTTTCCTGCTTGCAGTGTCCGACCATATACGCTCAAGTCGATGAAAAAACAGGAGAAACATTAACGATAACAAATCCAATACCTTTGCCAGCATTAAACGTACATTCTTTTTAAAAATTCTTACGGGGGCGGGGGAAGAAGGAGGGAGGGATGTAGGGGAAGATGGAAAAAAATTAATTTTTTGATTTTTGCTTTCAGGCTATGGTATCGCACGGTAGGGTCGAATTATTGGCACATCCCCTAAGTCAAAAATATTTACAAATGAAATGGAATTCGTATGGGAAATATTTTCACTTGATTAATTTATTATTTTACACGATATTTCTAACCGTCGTAACAACATTTACGGCACACCTGATGCATTCAAACATAACGACGACCTGCGAAGAAAGTAATCAAACTGTTGTTTTATCTGTAAGATTTTAAACAAAAATCGTAACACCAAAAATCAAAAAGAAAAAAAATTTTTTATAAACAATAGAGAATCATTTAAAAAAAAAAAAAAATGGAGGGAAAAATTAATTTTTTTTTTTTTTTTTTTCGTTTTTTCCAACCGAAATCTTTTTTGTTTAAGGAAATCTCGCTGAGATTGGAATCATCGTCTAATTACACGATAATATATACTACGGCCGTGGCAATAGCCGTTTACGTATCCGTTCAATTATTTCGCGAAACTATACAAATGTATCAACAAAAATGGAATTATTGCATGGATCCGAGTAATTTCATATCGTTGGGATTGTATATTTCTTCGATAACTATGATCGTTCCCATTTTCATGGATAAATGTACGGATTTGCAATTTTCCAGCGCCGCCATCACAGTTTTTTTAAGTTGGTTTAATTTATTATTATACCTTCAAAGGTAAAATAAATTTCTTAGAATGCGATAGGACTAGTCATAATGATAATAATAATAATAATAAAAGAAAATTTACGAAAACAGGTTCGATCAGGTTGGAATATACATCGTCATGTTTTTGGAAATACTGCAAACTCTTATCAAAGTCCTTTTGGTCTTTTCGATATTGATAATAGCTTTCGGATTGGCTTTTTACATACTCTTATCGGGGGTGAGTCGAACCGGAAGGAGAATATTCGAACGAGTTAGAAAAAGGAATAATGATGAATTTTCCTTAGGGATCTCATTTGTCGTTCAGCACGGTCCCGATGTCTCTCATGAGAACTTTTGCCATGATGTTGGGCGAAATTGATTTTTTGGGAACGTACGTTCAACCGTTTTTTAGAAAACCCGAAGATTCGGACGACGTGTCGGAAGATAAAATAAAAACCTTACCGTATCCGTTTCCGGCTTTTTTCATACTGGGAATATTCATGGTACTCATGCCGATTTTACTTATGAATTTACTCATCGGTTTAGCCGTTGGTGATATAGAATCCGTGCGGAGAAACGCTCAACTCAAACGTTTGGCCATGCAGGTGCGAACCTAAAAAAAAAAAAAAAAAAATTGTAAAACGTAATGATAATAATAATGTTAACGGGTTTGTTTTGAATTCAGGTCGTTCTTCACACGGAACTCGAAAGAAAATTACCCAAATGTTTATTGGATAGAGTTGATAAAATGGAATTGATTGAATATCCGAATGAGAAAAAATGTAAATTGGGATTCCTGGATACGCTCCTCGGGAAATGGTTTTTCAATCCTTTTTCAGACGATGGTAATAAGTGTGTGTGAGATGTGCAGAGCGGAAAATTGATGATTTATTATTATTATTGTTGTTGTTGCAGTCGGTTGGGAAATGGTCGTGGACAACACGGAAGATTATCTAACGTCGGAAATGGCAAAACAAAAAAAAAAATTAAAAGAAATATCATCGTGTCTGGAAACGCAACAACTTTTCCTTCGTCTAATAATACAGGTATGACACACGTGATAATAATAATAATAGTCGAAAATTATGTTTAATGATAATGATGATAAAATGTGTAGAAAATGGAAATAAAAACGGAAGCGGATGACGTGGACGAAGGGATATCACCGAACGCATTGAAAAATCTATTAAACAGGAGCAGTTCTAGTTACACGTCACCGTACGCAAGGAAAAAATTACGTTCGTCACTTAGCATTACGAAATCATCGAATTATTAGTTTAAAATTTTTCACTTTCTTTTTTTATGTGTAATAATAATAATAATAATAAATTTTTGATAGTCGTAAAAAAAGGTGAGTGAGAGAGAGAGAGAGAGAGAAAGAAAATCTCTCAACGATTTTATATGTTCCCGAAGGAATAAATTCTCACCTGAAAAAAAAAATTTTAATATTATAAATGTTTCGTATGATAAATATATATTTTAATTACAAAAACAAAAAATTATGTTATGCTTATGATGATAAATATATTAAAAAATATTTTCACTGATAAATATACGTTTGTGTATTTTCCATTGAATTTTATCCATTGAATTTAAAAAAAAAAAAATTTTTTCTTTCCCCTCGATCGTGTATTGAATTTGATTTGTTTTTATTTAAAATTTATTACCGTTAGATTTTTAAAAAAAATATAATTTATTTATTTTCCTTTGAAATTTTACCTTTTAGATATTATTATTTTCTATTTAAATTTTTTTCCATTGAATTTTTAACTTAAAAATTTGTTTTTTTATGAAGTCGGTTTCTTTTTCAACTTGAATTTCCCTCCTCCTTTCCCCGCCTCCCCCCAATCACACCCCCCACCAGTTAAATTCAAATAAAACTTACCATTGAATTTATTCCATTTGAAATTTTCCTTTGAATCGTTTCAATCATTTTTTTGTTTTGATTTAAATCAAGTTAAAGAAATTTTTTTTCCATTGAATTCTTTTCCATTCCTTTGTAATTTTTTTCCATTGAATTTCAACCATTAAATTTTTCCCGTTCCATTTCGCTCCCCCCCCCCCACATTAAATTGTAATAAGTCCAATATTAAAACATCATACAAAATTTATCCATTGAATTTATTTCATTTGAAATTTTCCTTTGACTATAATTATTAACATTAAATTTTTAATTCCGAGATATATATTTGCAATTCCCCCCCTCCCCCCGCGTTAAAATCAAAAACATTAATTAGAAAATTCAAATTGGACATAGTATGTTTTTAATTTTAAAGAAATTATCCGATCGCTTAGTATTTATTGCAAAAACGGACTATGTGAATAGAGAAAAAATTAAAATTTAATAAAAAAAAAAATTTTTATTTTTTTTATTTTTTTTTTCAAATATATATATATATATATATATGTAATCAACATTATTAATTAATTAATTAATAAATAATTAATTAAACTAAATTACAATAAATAATTAATTAACAGTATCTATTTTACATAGATTATTTGTCATACAATTGAATTTCTTTTTCTTTTTTTTTTTTTTTTATACCCCAAAATCTCTCATTAAATCTTTCTATTTAACCGTTATAACGAAAACAAACAACAACAATTGTGAGAAAAATAACAAACGAACAAACAAACAAAATGATAAATTTTTCTTTTTTTTACAATAACAAACAAATCCTTTTACTACCTTTTCATTAAATACCCAACAAAACAGAAAAGAGAGATAGAAAAAAAAAAACTAAAAAATTAATTTTATTTTCTTCCTTTGTTTTCCTTTTTTCCTTTTCTACAATAATAAATATATATATATATTAAAATTAAAACTTTTTTAAGCAAAAATTAATAACAACAAAATTTCCTTTTTTTTTTTTTTAACCAACTACTCACACCAACAACAACGAAAAAAAAAATAACAAAAACAATTTTCCTTTTTTTCCTTTTTTTCCTTTTTTCCTTTTTCTAATTAATTAATTTTCTATCTTTCTCTTTCTTCTTGTTTTAAAGCACTACAAAAAAACAATTTGCTCTACGTAAAAAAAAAAAAAAAAAAAACAATTTTTTATCATCATTATTAAAAAAAATTATTAGCAATTTATTTATTTAATAATTTATTCGTAAAATTATTAATTAATTAATTAATTAATTAATAATTAATTAATAAATAAATACAAATTCCCTGCTATTAGTTTGTTTATTTATTTTATTTTAATTTAACTAACTCATGATTGTACGCCAGTAAAATTTTTTTAAGCTTTAAACAAAATTTTTTTTTTTTAGTTTTTATTTTTTTTTATTTTTTTTTTAAATATTTTTTTTTCTTATTTTATTATCAACGGACAAAAAAAAGCAATTCGTTAATAATAATAATAATATATAAAATAAAACAAACAAACAAACAAACAAACAGAATTTTTCTTAACGTTTTTTTTTTTTTCATTTAAAATTTCAACAATAAAATGATCTATATGTATATGTATATATATAGAATCAAAGATGGCGTCTTTTGTTTTTTTTTTTTTGTTATATTTTCTCTTTTTTTTTATATAAAAAATTTTTAATAAAACCTTCAACACAAACTATCTAACTAATGCGAGACGATAACATCGATCTAAATTTTTTTTAAATAATAATAATAATAATAATAATAAATAACGAAAAACCGAAAAAAAATTAATTGAAAAAATAATAAAAAACGTTTCAACTTTTTTATTTATTAATTATTAATTATTATTAATCATCGTCCATGTCAATAAGTTCACCTTGGTATCGACTTTTCGTTCTACAGAACATTGTCAAACAGAATAATCTGAAAAAAATTCTAAATTGAGGGCTGAACGTTAGAAGAATTAAAGATTTCCATGCGGAATTTGCAACGCCTATCCAAACGATTCCAAATTGTAAAAGCGGTATCTGAAAATGAAAGACAAAGGATTCGATATATCGATATATCGATTCGATCGATTTCTCCCACATCGACATACATACTAACCTGTAATTTACTTCCGGTTACGTATTCGTACAATCTCACGCCTGCGTACGGCGTCCAAGATATCCAAAAAATTGCTATTAATAGAAACGACATGACGTGACTCGGATTCGCGAGATTTTCCGCGAGCGCCGTTGCATATTCTTTATCGTGTATGGGCACGCCATGTTTTAATCGTCTCATCATTAAAAATATGTACCAATACGTGTACACCATCGTGAACAACGTTGGCACCAATACCTGAAAATAAAAATAAATAAATTACTTACGGCGAAATTTCCCGGAGAATCGTCCGGAAAATGAGACAAAACTTACCAAAATGGCGAGCGTGATAGTGTACGCCGCCATGTTTCCCCAATCTAACATGCATATGTGAGCTTCTTTATTGTACAAAGGTTTGTAAAATCCCAACAGGGGTGGACAGCATAACATCAACGATGAGATCCACGTGAAAACCATCCAACACTGACATCGAGTTTTCGTTTGTACCGTGTCGTACCTCAACGGTTTTCTAACAGCCAAATATCTATCCACGCTCATCCACATAAATGAAAAAACTGTTACAACCCAAAGTGTAACCTGTGGAAACAATCGAACAGAAACGTTAAGATACCTCATTCGTAGGAAGATGAAGAGATTTATAAATGGAACGACGACAAACTTCGACGTATCCGGCCAACATGCAAATAATGTCACCATATATCCACCGTTGAACCATGGCGGGATAAACGGATAAGGGCACGACAAATAAACCGCATATTAGATCAGCAGTAGCAATCGAAAGAATATAAATGTTAATCACTTCTTGAGGGCCTGTAAGGAAAACAAAAACGACATGATCCGTCGCGACAAACAGAAAACAGAAAAATCATATTGACCCGGGTCAAGTGCGTAACGTACCGTCATTCATACAAAGATGAAAGGAAAAAGGAGAAAGAAGAAAGAGGAAGAAGAAGGAAGAAGAAAGAGGAAGAAGAAGAAGGAAGAAGAAGGAGGAAGAAGAAGGAAGAAAAACGCATTTCATTCACGGTCTGCTAAAAAAAGAAACGACAGATTCATCATTCAAAAGTTTGTCAATTGTGCGGTCAACCAAATCCCCATATACAAACGTCGACAAAACGTTTTCTCTCTCACTCACTCTCTTTCTCTCTCTTTTTAAAAATAATAATAATAATGAAAGATATTTAAACGCGATAATATTAATAAGAGTTCGTACAAAACAAAATATCCCGATCGATTACAATTTTGGAATTTTAAATGTAAAAAAAAAACTTTCAAACAAAATCGATAAGAATTTTTCCAGCTGGAAATAAAAAGAGAGAGAGAGAGAGAGAGAGAGAGAGAACCATTAAAAATTTTCCATTTTCCATACACGAGGCTTTAATAATTACCTCGGGCGTTTAGAAACGTAGCAATTATGACGACATTTGACACAATGATGGCGACTCCTAAGCAGGAAATAACGGTTGCTTCTGTAAGAGCCTCCAGATTGAAATCTTCGTCCTCTTCGTCGGTGAGGATAATCATGCCTGTAAAAACAAACCTTTTTTTTTTTTTTTTTTTTTCGTCGTTTGTTTTGTTTGTTTTCTTTTGTTGTTGTTGTTGTTTTTTTTTTTTTTTTTTTTTGGCGTTATGAAAATAAAATCTCACCGGGGTACATCCTCTCAACTCCGTTTTTAGGCCATTTGACCGGTTCGGTCAACCACCCGATGCCATTTTTAATGGATCGAACGTGGGGCACAAGCCCCGAATCCTTTGATCACCGACTCACAAACGTAATCTCCTTTGACATTAGTACCATCGATCTGTAAACAAACAAACAAACAAACAAACAAACAAATTATGACGAGGGAACGTTAACGATTTACAATAAATATTTAAAAATTTCGAAAAATATATCATTATTTCTTTTACTCTCCTTCACACACACCCCCCACGTTCTGCCACGTCTCGCACCCCCCCCCCGAAAAAAGGCAAAAAAAATTAAAACCTTTACCTTACCCCCTCCTCCTTTCCGAGAAAACGAAAAAAAAAAAAACAATTCTTAGCATGATCATTATACCTTTTTAATAACAACCCTTAATCAAAGACGTATTTATTGCAGTCACGAAACAAACGTTCAACAACAACAACAACAACAACAACCACAACCAAACAAAGAAAAAATAAATTAAAATTAACGCGATGTAAATGAACAACTACAACGAGGGATTTTGAGGTCGTGACCCCGCCCCCCCCCACGAAAATCGTTAAATATTTTTTTTTAATAATAACAAACAACTACCCGTTTGTTCAACACACCAGACGACAAACACAATTTTTTCAAAAATTAATTTCACCTCACTACCCCCCCCTCCGTACACGACAAACTACTACAACCGACTAGAGAGAGATTCAATGGATTCTCATAAAACGTTTGTCCGATAAGTCGTCGTGAACTAAGAAAGAATCGTCGTGGCATTAACATTAATTAACCTCCACCCCCTCCGTTCAAATCCTCCTCCTCCTCCCCCTTTTCGATTACTTTCTTTCTTATCCTCTTCCTTATCGATAACAACTTTTTTCGCCTACCATCACCACCACCACCCTCCTTTCCTCCCACGATGATTTCATTGTATTTGAATAATTTATAGAATATCATCATCATCATCATTATTGTTCTTTAAAATTGAAAATAAGTTTTGCAATTGAGAGAGAAAGCGAGAAAGAGAGAGAGATAGAGATAGAGAGAAATAACTTTTGTTTTCGGAAGGGAGGAGGGGGAGGGGGGGGAGGATTTTCCCATCGAAAATTTATTCGTTCCTTTTTATTAATTTAAACAATTAAAAATTAAATTTTCAAATTCGAAAAGATTATTAAAACGATGACGTCACACATTTAAAATACGATTCCTATTTCACATCGTCGTAACATTTTATATATATTATAATAATACGAGTTGTAAATAACGATAAGATTATTATTATTATTATTATTATTATTATTATTATTATTATTATTATTATTATGCGCGAGAGGAGGGAGGGTGGGGTAATGCGGGGATCATAACGATCGAAAAAATTTTTATTTAATTAATGCGAAAAAATTAATAATAATAATTTTTTTTTTGGTGGGTGGGGGAGGAGGAGATCCGGTGGGGGGAGGGGAGGCGAATAAGTGATGGCGGTTGAATCGGCGTGTCGGCGGTGAAATGTAAATTGTTTCCGGTAAATAAAAAGGCGGTTACGAATACGGAAATGGGGAACGGAGGAGGAGGAGGGAGAAGGAGGGGGGGAGGAGGAGTCGATGGAAACGAACGGCAGTAAAAATTCATGCAAGAAACGTCATAAGAAAATAACGATAACACGCATCATCATCGTTTCGTGATATTACATTTTTTTTTTTTCTCCATTTTTCCATTTTTTTTTTCCTTTTTTTAATTTTATTCCTTTGAATTTTTTTTTACGAACGAACGAACACGTCGAAAAATCAAAAATTTCCTTTTTTTTTATTTTTTTCTTTTTTTTTTTTTTTAATTATTAAAACTTCTTGAAAACTCTTCGAAAAAGAAAGAAAAACTTGAATGGTTTTCCTTTTATTTTCCCTAACAAGAAAAAGGAAAAAAAGGAAAAAGTTAATAAATAAAAATTTTCTTTTCGGTGAATTCTTTTCCCCTTCCTCCTCACCCTCCTCCTCCTACTTCTTACTCCTCCTCAACTTTTTTTTTTTTTTTACCCCATCAAATTTCCTAATAAAACAAAAAAAAAAAAAAAAAAATCCTCCCGAGAGTCTTTCTTTTGCCAACTTGATTTTTTTCATGTGACAATTGAGACGTTTAACAACAACAACAACGACAACAACAACAACAAACACGACGACAAACGACGTCAAAAAAAAAAAAAAAAAAGAAAATTTATCAAACGACCAAATAAAATTTTTACTCCATTTTCTCTCTCTCTCTCTTTTTCTCCCTCAAAAAAAAAAAAAATTATTTTATTTATTTATTTAAAATCTCCCCAACAATTTATAATAATAATAATAATATTTCTGTGAACGGATTGTTTGTTTTCCCCCTCCCCCGTCTTTTTCTTCTTCTTTCTAAATTTTAATTTTCTCACGAAAATTAACATAAAATTATGCAAAATATTTTTCCCTTTTTTCCCTTTTTTTCCTCCTACCAAAAATATAATCAAAACAATTTTCAACCCTTAAATTAATTTAAATTTCACGGAATTCACCACGAGGGCGGGGGGAAGGTGGAGGAGGGGTTGAGAGAGAGAGAGGGGGTTGGAAAAGAAATAAGAAAAAAAAAAAAAAATGAGAAGGAAACAAACCGAATCGTATTTAAATTTTCTTTACAACACATTTCCTTCAGCATCTTAATAAAAATTTTCCCACATCTCTCTCTCTCTCTCTCTCTCTTTCATCCCGTCTATATATTCTACTATCCCACTTTTTAAAATTTTTAACTTCTCTCCTTTTCCCCTACCCCTACCACCACCACCACCACCATCCCCACCATCATCCACACACGATTAACGTAAAGAAAAAGGAGTGCGAGGGGGAGGGGAGGAGGAGGAGAAAAATCCTCTTTTATAAATTTTCCAAATGCAAAAGAAAATTTTTTTTTGGAATTGTTAAAAAATGTAAAAATTTTCGTCGTAATTTTTCCTTTTTTTTTCTTCCTTTTTTCCTTTTTTTTGGCGGGAAGGGAAAAAATTTCAAAAAAAAAAAAAAAAAAAAAAGAATTCGGGGAAAGAAGGAGAATAATCGATTTTTCGAGAGTTTAAAAAAAAAAAAAATTTCAACCTAGTCCTTTAACAATAACAAAAAAAAAAAAAAAAAAAATTCCCAATAGCTTCTTCGCGTCCTAGATAAAAAAAAAAGGTGAATAATAATAATAATGATGATGATGATGATGATGATGATGATGATGATAATAATAATAATAATAATAATAAAAACATACGCAAAAAACAAACAGAAAATCTGAAAAAACTTGTTAGAGAAGTGAGACAGAAATCATTGAAAAATAAATGAGAGAGAGAGAGAGATAGTTCGATAGAAAATCTACTTTTTTTTTCCTTTTTTCCTTTTTTTTTAATAATAAGTTTCCTTTGATTTCGTACGATAATAACAAAAAAAAAAAAAGGGGAAAAAAAATTGGAATATATATACAGTTTTTGCTCCAGTTCACATAACCAAAAACAAAAAACAAAAAAAAGAAATTTTTTCTTTCTTTCCGAATGTAAAATTATTAAAATTTTATGCAAAAGTTGAAAAAAAAAAAAAAAAAAAAAAAAGTTTTCATCTAATTCCACGTCAAAAAAAAAAAAAAAAGAAAAAAAAAATTTCTTTTTTTTTTTTTATTTCACGGCTCAAAGGAATTTGATGTCCTTTAATTGGAACGAAAACTTTTTTTTTTTTTTTTTTGTTCCACCCCCATTTCCTTTCTCTTATCCTCTCCGCTATCCTCTCCCTCTATCTCTCTCTAACCTTACCTACATTCAAAAGAACTTTTTTTTAAAGGGGGAAGCGGGGAACAGGGAGTAACGTAATAGGGGGCGGGGGCGGGAAATAAAAAGTCGATGTCGTTAAAAAAAATAAGACGATATAAAATAAATAAAAAAAAATGAAAGATAAAAAAACTAAAAAATGATGAAATGTTTCAAACATTCGGAAAATATTAATAATAATAATAATAATAATCGTTGTCAATTCAACGCTGTCGTGAAAAAATAAAGAGAGAGAGAGAGAGAGAGAGAGATAGAAAAAGGAAAATTCAGCACGATTCAAACTATTGATTTTCATTATTATCGTAACCTACTACGACTATCAACATCATCATCATAATCATCATCATCATTATTATTATTATTTCATTATCAAAACGTTTTTTTTTATTGCTTTCTGTAATAATTAATAACAACACGACCTGGTATTGTGGGGGGAGGGAGGCGGGAGAAAAATATTAATCCGCAAGGATAATAGAAAAAAAAAAAAAAGAAATGAGTAGAGAGGAATAACTCGGGGGGAGGGAAATGAGAGGGAAGGGGAGGGGAGGGGAGGTAGCAGAGGGGAGTACGGATGAAGCAAGCTAAGAAAATAATAATAATAATAATAATAATAATAATAAAGAAACAAAAATTGCGAAAACGAAACCTAAATTCATAATTAAAGTAAAAATTTTTTGCTAAATACGTAAGTAACGAGTGTAATTTTCCCGGGGGGCGAGGTGGGGCGGGAGGGGAGAAAGAGGGCGGAAAGGGAGAGGGGGAAAAGGAAAACGTTAATTATCAATTAATAAAATTTTTCAAAAAAAAAAAAAAAATTATTAAAACTTTCACGTTTTGCGACGACGACGACGACGACGACACAATTTTTCCGTCAGAAAAAACAGTAAAATGGTCGGTGGAGTAAAAACAAAACCTTTTTGCCTTTTTTTTTTTTTTTAATTCTTTTCCTTTCTTTGCAATTTTTTTCTTTTTTTCTCCATAAATTATTACAAAAAAAAAAAAAAACAAAAAAACAAATAGAGAAAAAAAAAAAAAAATGAAATCCCATTCATGAAAAAGGTTTTATTTTACGTATTAATCTCAGGTAAAAGTCAGCAAAAAGGCTGAATCGATTTGTCAAGGTCTAAACGTACATACGAGAGGACAATGCCAAAAAGGATTCATCCTTACCCTTATTCATCCTAATATAAATAATAACGACGACGACGATAATAATAATAATAATAACAACGGTAAAATAAAACGCGTGGAATAAAATAAAAAAAATAAAATAAAAAAATGAAATTTCGTCGACTCCCCCCCCCCATTTTTACAGTCTCGGATAAGATGTCGGAGAGTCAAGGTTGAACCTTTCGTGTTTTCCTATCATAAAAACAAAAAAAAAAAAAAAAAACCTTTTCTTGTATTTAAAATAAAATGGGTTGTGCCTTTTCTTTTCCTTTTTTCCCTTTTAAATAATAACATTTCACTAACAACACCTTACGAATAATAATAATAATAATAATAATAAAAAATTAAATAACCTTTTTTCACATTATACAAAATTTAAAATAAAAAAAAAAAAAACGTCACGTGGTTTATTATTAGCAAAAGTTTTCCTTTTTCTCTCTCTCTCTCTCTCTCTCTTTCTTTTCCCATAAAATTTTTGTATTTTTTTTTTTTTTTCCTTTTTTTCGTCACCGTCATCGTCATCGTCATCGTCGTCATCGTCGTCTTTTGTCGATAAATCGAAATCAATTTTCCAAAAAAAAAAAGTCACAAACTTAACAATAAATAAAACGCGACGAATTATTATTATTATTATTATTATGTATTCACGATTACCAACGAAAATAATTAAAAAAAAAAAAAAAAAAAAAAAAAAAAAAAAAAAACGTGACATATGAAAAAAAAATTAAAATTCGACGAAGACGTTCGAGGAGGACGTCGAGGACGTCTTCGTCGTCGTTTTCCGGTACCAAATTAAAACCTTTAAGAACCTTAAAGGAAAAATTATATTTTCGTTGATATAACGTGTGGGAAAAAAACAATAATAATAATAATAATAATAATAATAAATAGAATAATGAAATTAAAAAAAAAAAAAAAAAAATTAAAAATAATATTAATTACGATCGATCGTTCCTCGTGGAAACATTATTTAAAAAAAAAATAATAATAATAATAAATAAATAAATAAATAAACTTACTGATAAGAATCCAAAGGAATTGCATGTGTTGTAAAGGTTCGAGCAACGAATTATATGTCAAAAAAAAAAAAAAAAATTTTTTCTTTTCTTTTTTCACCGACCGAATCCTGGGCTCGATACGTGCGCGAGCTTTTCGCGTTGCCCGGGCGAAACCCACCAAAAAATTTTTCCAACAAGTTTATCTATACGCAGAAACACAGCGCTTTCTCCAGTTCTATTCTATCTTTCTCCCTCTCTTTCCTTTTTCTTTTCCCTTTTTCTCTCTTTTTTTTTTTTTTTTATGTATTTTTCCGTTTTCGAATCTGTAAAAACAAAAAAAAAAAAAAAAAAAAAAAATCACAATCCGAATAAAAATAAAAAAATTCAATTACTAAAAAAAATTAAAAATCGTCGTTATCATTATTATTATCATATTCTTAATTTTTTTTTAATCCCTTAAAAAAATTTATCATTATTATTATTATTTCTTAAGCTCCCATAAAGAATTTTTTTTTTTTTTTTTTTTGCATTTGTTGCCAAACATAATCATCATCATCATCGTTATACGATTTATACGGCTAATTAAGTTTTTATTTCCGGTTATTTGGTTCCTTTTTTTATCCCACACATCCTCCCCCATACGCCCTCCCCATTTACAGACAACAGCAAAAAAAAAAAAAAAATTTGCTGTTTTTATTTATTGTTTTTTTTTTTTCGCATGAAAAAATTAATTTGTTAACTTATTATTATTATTATATACCTTTTCACAAAAATATTTATTTTATTATGTTGTCGTCCTGATTTGTTTCTTTTTTTTTTTTCCTGTCAAAAAATCGACGGAGTGAATTCACGTACGAATAATAAATGTTAAAGAAAAATAAATTTTTTCTCGTGCTGTCGTCTTCCTCCTGTCGTTAACATTTTTTTTGTTAATAAATATTTTCCGTTGGTCGAAAGTTGACGACGAGAGTTTTTCCAAATTGTCGACAGGTTCGATATTTAAAATTTTTTTTTTTTGGATTTTATCTGGAAGAAATGATTTTATTAAACATTTAAAAACGTTGTTTATAATTACTTTACGATATTTAATTACGTTAATTAACCTGATTAATTATTTACTTATTTAAATATTCCGGCATGTTTTCTCCCCCCCCCCCATGTTGAAACTTTTTTCCCTGGATTTTTCATTCGAGAAAATCTGGATAAACGCAGGTTCCTGGAAAGAAAAAAGAGAAAATCTCTATATAAAAATTGTAAGTGATATTTAACGTGTTTATTTACATAGACAAAAATTTATGTCTCAAAATTATTCCTTCCTGTGGCAAATAATAATAATAATAATAAGTCAATGATTTTCACCGAGCCCGGCCATATGATGAAAGAGTAGTAGTTAATTTAAAAGCCACCGTAATTTAATTTTTCATAAGCGATCGTGCTGCTCTCACGTGAGTAAAATAAAAACTAAAACAACTTCTTCACAAAATTGAAAACGTTTTAAATTTTTGTTAAAAGATGTCGCGATTGTATTTTTTCGTTTTCCATTTTTTTTTTTTTTTAGTAAAACTCACTTGATTTTTTTTCCTTGATTTTTTCGACGAAGATTGAATCATCATGAAACTTTCTCCATGGTCCCTCTCAAAACTGAAATAATAACAATTTATTATTATTATTATTTTTATAAAAATTAAACCTCATTCGAATATATAACAAAAAAGTACCCATGAATTCAAAGAAAGAATCATTATTATTATTATTTAAATGCGTAATAGTAAGCAATTTTTTTTTTATGATTTTCATTTCAGAAATTTTTTTAATTTAACCTGTTTTGCACGTTTTTTAAATGCTATTCTTTTTTACATTCAAAATAATATGTAAAAACGTTTAAGAAAATTCTCTTCTATGCAAAACAATAACAACAATTATATTTATGTGTTATTAATAATAAAACTTACTATGTGTGATCGATTTCGAAATTTTCTTCTTTTTTTTAAAATTTGGGACGAAATATATATATATATAAGCATGGCATAGAATTTTGTCCTCTTGCGTCATGAGCTCAGATGAAACTTAAAATCAATAATTTCTACAACAGATAAATGACAGGGTTTTTGTTTTGTTATTGTTATTATTTTTTCAACATAAACTTTAATGAAAATGAATTCAATATAAACTTTAAAGTTAATTTTACATGAATATACTCACTTGTTTGTCAAAAAAATTGAGTGCAAAGAAAAACCTATTCATGTAATGATTAGAATTACACATTCTAATACTTTCACTGGCAACCAAACACATACTTATTTATTTTCTTCTCTTCTTTACTTTAAAATGAGATAAAAATAGGTAAATGTTTGTCAACTTCATCTGAAAAAGAAAAAAAAAAGTCAAAATTTTACATGTGAACATTTAATTAAAGGTTATGGCATCATGGCAGGTCTTTCATAATTCCATCACAATTAGTAAAAATTAATTATTTTTACATATTCATACAACGTAATAATGTATTATATAAATAAAATATAATATTTAATAATAATAATTCATTATAAAAATCAAATAAAATTGACAAAAAATAAAATAAAAAACCCACGTGTGTTGTAATGGCCTATTGCAACAATTACTGCAATGAATATGAATTAATTTGCATAAGAAAGTTTCTTCTATGGCTAACGATATTTATTTAATAAAAAAAAAAATATCCATCAAAAGTAATATTAATAATAAAAAAATAAAAAACATTCCATGTAATTAAATATTTAAATAAAAAAAAAAAAAAAATTGTAGTAAAAGAATCTGGTTTGATTAGTCATACGGCATCCGTTTCTAAGAAACTTCTAGAAAAAATCTAAATTGTTCCTATAAAAAACCCGCGATTTCAGACTGTTTACACCGGTCACTACGTTAGTCAAATAAGATTTCATCACGCGTTTTATTTTCTATTTACGTGGCGTTTTAGTTTTTGAATTTACTCGTTAAAATTATTTCGTAGTTTTTAAAATTAAATTGAAAAACGTTCGATTAAAAAAAACAATTTGAAATATATCGTTCAAGTGCCTTTATAGAAACGTAGAAGGGTAGAATGTTCTAGAACATTGGAGTGAGAACCAATAAGATGGCATTTATTAAACGCGTTTCCGGTTTTTTCAAAGCGCAGCGCACAAATTCTTGTAGAATGTTCCAGAATATTCTACGAAGTTATTTAAAGATTGCTTTCCTTCTGGATCATTCATTATTTAATTGACTGCGTGAGAGTTTACTCCAAGTTTGTGCTGTGCTAAAATATATTTAATAAAAAGTATTATTATTTCCTTTTGTGTTTTAAAAGCATTCTCATTAGATTTGATTAAATAAATATTATTTATTTCACAAAGGTAAGATCAATATATTTTATTGTTGTTTATTTTATTCGAAATTATTTTGTTACAATGGTGTCATGGTGTTGTTATTGAAATTTTTTTTTTTTTTTTTTTTTTTTGTGAGAAAAGGAATTTGAATGTGATCAAGTGTTGAAAAAATGTTTGTAGCCATTCTACCATTTGCATTATATTGTTTTTTTTTTTTTAAAAAGTGAGTGCTTGTTAGTTTATATCGGTTTTTTTTTTTTTGCAGATGCCGGAAGACGTACAAATGAAAGAAGCCGGTGAGAGCGAGGGAGAAACCTTTGCCTTTCAGGCAGAGATTGCTCAACTTATGTCTCTCATTATCAACACCTTTTATTCAAACAAAGAAATATTTCTTAGAGAATTAATTTCAAACTCATCTGATGTAAGTAATTATTTTTATCCCATTGTGATATGAATAGGGATAGGGGAATATGTAGTGCATTTAAAAATTTCATTATTTCTAACTTGCTCTCTTGTTTGTCGCAGGCTTTGGATAAAATTAGATATGAATCCCTCACTGATCCTTCTCGTCTTGATAGTGGCAAAGAATTGTACATCAAAATCATTCCAGACAAAGAAGCTAGAACTCTTACCATTATTGATACTGGTATAGGAATGACAAAGGCTGATCTTGTCAATAATCTCGGTACAATTGCTAAATCAGGAACCAAAGCTTTTATGGAAGCTCTACAAGCAGGAGCTGACATATCGATGATTGGTCAATTTGGTGTGGGTTTCTACTCTGCTTACCTTGTGGCAGACAAAGTCACAGTTACATCCAAACACAATGATGATGAACAATATTTGTGGGAATCATCTGCTGGAGGTTCATTCACAGTCAGACCAAGTCCAGATGAACCGCTTGGACGTGGAACCAAAGTTGTTCTTTACATTAAAGAAGATCAAACTGAATTTTTAGACACTAAAAAAATTAAGGAAATAGTCAAAAAACATTCACAATTTATCGGATATCCAATTAAACTCCTTGTCGAAAAAGAAAGAGAAAAAGAATTGAGTGAAGATGAAAGCGAGGAAGAAAAAGAAGGATCCGAAGACAAGGACAAAGAAAAGCCCAAAGGTGTAGACATTGAAGATGTCAACGAAGAAGAAGAAGAAGGAACAAAGAAAGAAAAGAAAAAGAAAACGATAAAAGAAAAATATGTCGAAGATGAAGAATTGAACAAGACTAAACCCATTTGGACCAGGAATCCGGATGATATAACTCAGGAAGAATATGGTGAATTTTACAAATCACTTACCAACGATTGGGAAGATCATTTGGCTGTCAAACATTTCTCAGTTGAAGGTCAATTGGAATTCCGTGCTCTTTTGTTTGTTCCAAGGAGAGCACCCTTTGATCTTTTTGAAAACAAAAAGAAAAAGAACAACATTAAATTATACGTCAGAAGAGTTTTCATTATGGACAACTGTGAAGATCTCATTCCCGAATATCTTAACTTTATCAAGGGTATTGTCGACAGTGAAGATTTGCCTCTCAACATTTCAAGAGAAATGCTTCAACAGAGTAAAATCCTCAAGGTCATAAGAAAGAATCTCATTAAAAAATGCCTTGAATTATTCGAAGAATTGGCCGAAGACAAGGAATTGTACAAGAAATTCTACGAACAATTCGGTAAAAATTTGAAATTGGGTATACACGAAGATGCTCAAAGCAGAAACAAAATCGGCGAGCTTTTGAGGTATCAAACATCCGCATCCGGCGACGACATTTGTTCCCTTAGTGACTACGTCGGGAGAATGAAAGAAAATCAAAAACACATTTACTTCATCACCGGTGAAAGCAAAGAACACGTCGCCAATTCATCCTTCGTCGAAAGAGTCAAGAAGAGGGGATTCGAAGTTATTTACATGACGGAACCCATCGACGAATACGTCGTTCAACAATTGAAAACGTTCGACGAAAAACAATTGGTTTCCGTGACGAAGGAAGGACTCGAATTGCCGGAAGACGAAGAGGAAAAGAAAAAGCGGGAAGAAGACCAAGTCAAATTCGAAAAACTATGCAAAGTCATGAAAGACATATTGGACAAGAAAGTTGAAAAAGTTGTCGTCTCGAACAGATTGGTCGAATCCCCGTGTTGTATTGTCACGTCGCAATACGGTTGGACGGCCAACATGGAAAGGATCATGAAAGCTCAAGCTCTCAGAGACATGTCTACGATGGGTTACATGTCCGCGAAGAAACATTTAGAAATCAATCCCGATCACCCGGTCATGAACACGCTTAGAGAAAAGGCTGAAGCTGACAAAAACGACAAAGCCGTTAAAGATTTAGTCATGTTGTTATTCGAAACGGCTCTACTCTCTTCGGGTTTCGCATTGGAAGATCCGCAAGTTCATTCCGCTAGAATATACAGAATGATTAAATTAGGTTTGGGTATCGACGACGACGACGACCCCGTCGTGGAAACTCAAAAAGTTGACGAAATGCCAGATCTCGAAACGGTCGATGCAGACGACGCAACGCGAATGGAAGAAGTCGATTAAAAGCCGCAATCGCATCCCCCATAAGTTAAACATTACCAACCACCGCAACAACAACAAGGAAAAGTTTTACGAAAATGTAAACATGTATTCTTCTGACGTCACAACAACAACAACAACAACAAGAGTACCTTCAACGTAATTGTTTGTTTGTTTGTTTTCTTTTTTTTTTTCGAGAAGGGGGAAGAATGGAAAAAACAAAATGGCCGTCGCAATTTTCCCCTATTTGCCTATTCTTTTACACCTGTATCCGTTTGTTTTTTTTTTTTTTTTTTTTTTTTTTTTTAAATCACAATCAGCGGATAAATAAAATAAAAAAAAAAAATTAAAATGTCGATAAATTTTTTTTAAAAAATAATAATAATAATAATAATGATGATGACGTAACTAATTTGCGTCACACAAAGAAATTTTCGGTTAAATTCGCAAACAAATATTATTATTATTATTATTATATTTTATCCGCGTTTTTCTCTCATGCGTTACAACACACCAAAGAATAAGAATAGAAAGAGGCAAAATAATGATGACGTCATAAACAATACGTCACGATCTCCCTCCCTCCCCTCAATATAAGTAAAAAAATTTCAATAAAAAAAAAAATTAAAAAATAAAATAAAAAATTTGAAATAAAAATAAATAAAAAAAAAATTTTAAATTTTAATTATGTGTGTATTTTTTTTCTTCTCTTTCCTTCTTTATCATTCTTCATCTTTCCATCCTCTTTTAAATATATAATATATATATATATATAAAACACAAAAGATAATAATAATAATAATAAAAGGTACAAAAAATAAGTAAAGTAAAGTAAAAAACAAAGTAAGCGTCCTTTGGTTAAACAATAATAATAATAATAATTTCTTTTACAATATAGTTATCATTGTTATCATTATTATTATTTTCATAGTCAGGTAATTGGAAAATCTTACACGTCCGTTAATCAATCAATCAATCAATCAATCATCGATCATATATATATATATATATATAAAAACAATAAACGTAGAATTTTCTCTTTTCCTCATCATTTTTTTGTAAATTATGTACAATAAGAAAGCAGAAAAGAATGGCTTATAATAATAAAAAAAAAAATGGAATATTTACCCCGTCACGAATCGTTTTTAACGGGAAAAACGACATTAAAAGCCTCCATTTTCTTTCAAATCTTAAATATCGTGTCTACACGTAACTCGGCTGCGTCCGCCATTTTGTTTACCCGCTCTTTTAAAATAACAACAACGTCTAATCGATTAATCGTTCGATATATCGATTCTTTAAAAATATTTGTTTTGTTTTGTTTTGTTTTGTTTATTTACATTAGTTTTTGTTCTTTGAGGCTTGTTTTCTTTAAAAAAAAAATTTAACAAAATTAAAAATTAAAAAAAAAAAGGTTTACATATATATATATATATATATATATATATATATATATATAGATAAACAAGAGGTAGGCACAAACCTTTTTTTTAAAACGAGGGGGAGACGACGATGATAATAATAATAATAATAAAATAAAATACAATTTTTCTTTTTTTCTTTTTTTTTATACAAATTTCTTGAACGCGATTCAAATTGTTTTCGATTATTATCGATTATCGATTTTTCTTTCTTTCTTTCTTACGTTTTTCTCCTCCCCTTTTTTTTACTCTTCGCGTTTCTTGCACTTTTTTCTTTGTCCGAAAAAAAAAAAAAAAAAAACGAATAAAAAAATTTAAAAAAAAACACGTTTCCGCGCGATCGACACATTTTTTTTTTTTTTTTTTAACGTTTTTTAATAAAGTTTTTAAAAATTAATTAATTACGTTTTTTTTGTCCTTTTTTTGTCCTTTTTTTTCTGTTCCCCTAACTGCTAAATTTTCACATCTTCGGAAGCGCCTAAATTGGCCAAAGTCTTTTTTATCCTAAGGGCAGTCAATCTTGCGGCTTCGTTTTGATACCAACATTCTTTCATTAATTTGGACATCACGTGAAGAGCCTGCAAAACACACACGCATAATAATAATAATAATAATGATAATCAACATTTTTCGGTTTTTCGGAATGACTCGCATACCTCGCACGAACCCCATCTGTTGGGTATGGATGGCCTTTGTTTATCGACGCAAACGACCTTTCTCATTTCTTCTATCGTCGGATCGCTAGGAACTAGGTCGTAATATGGTAATTGGTACTCGTCGTATACCCCTCCGACGTTGCACCTCCTCGCTATTTCCCAATATATCAAACCGAGAGCATACACGTCGGCTCTTTTGAACGATTCGAAATGATTCATGTTTATCATTTCTTCTAAAACCTGAAAAACCGTGAGTAAATGACAAAGAAGTCAAGCCTTTGAGTGAGTAGGTTCAAGAGAGTGAGATGGAGAGAGAGAAAGTTTGCCTCTCTCTCTCTCTCTCTCTCTTTCTCTCTCTGTGCCTCATTTTACTAACTTCTGGCGCCATGTATCTCTTGGTGCCTACTCTATTATTAAATGGAATATCGACGACGTTTAAAACAACATCGTGTCTAACGGCGAGTCCGAGATCTCCGATGGCGCACTGACCGTTTGATTTAACGAGAATGTTTTTAGATTTTAAGTCTCTGTGAGCAATGGCCGGCTTTCCTATACGAACAAAAAGACTTTATGAAATAAAAAAAACGAACGAATGAATGAATGAATGAATGAATGAATGAATGAATAATTAACCCTGGCTTCCTAAAATATCCATATGGAGATGAGCCAATCCCGTGGCTATGGACAAAGCCATACGGATCATACCGGACACGTCCACCGTGGTCCGATTTAAAAAATCGAATAAACTACCATTTTCGTGGTAATCCGTTATCAACCACAATTGCGTCCACGTTCCATTATCTGGAGAGAGAAAAAGAAAAACGTGGAAATAACAGAAATCTTTTATTTCCCTTCCCTCCCTCCCCCCCCACTCACCTTTATTATCGGCTGCTATAAACCCTAATATGTTATCGTGACGCAACATGACAGTCTGATATATCTCCGCTTCTCTAAACCACGACCTTTCCTCTCTCGATGAAAATATTTTAACGGCAACATTTTCACCTCTCCACCTTCCTCTCCAAACCTCCCCGAACCTTCCCTTTCCGATGATATCAATTAATTGTATCTGACGTGCGATGCTTCTTTGTACAAGTAAAGGAAGACCTACGAACACACAAACCCGTTACTCCTGCGTGCGGACATCATCAGGGGGGGAGGGTGGGGGAATATGTATATCCTACCTGACCCGGACCCGCTTGTTGTCATTTCAATCATATCCCTTATTGAGTTGACACCTAATATCGGATGATCTGGATCATCCACGGATTCGTCCACCCTGAGCCCGGTATGTACTCTTTTCCTTCTTCCGCAAAGAGTATATGCCACGACGACGACGAAACATATGATGGCGATCGGCAAGGCAACGGCAAGTGCGACTTCGACCGAAGTTAAATTGGCACCAAATCTACTTGACGGTTCCTCTACACAATAAATAATCATTTAAAATAAAAAAAAAAAAAACGAGGAAATCACCCTCTTCCCCATCACCCACCCCCCTTACGTACAAAAAAAAAAAAAAATTTCTTATTTTTTTGCTACAAATAAAGCTTTCGACCTTTTTTTTTTTTTTTTTTAAACGCTCGTGATGACTTTTTGCCCCTCATCGGTCGATTCAGCTCCCCACCCACCCTCGTCCCCTTTTTTCCCCCCATTACCCTACGTCATCACAATTAATAAAAGCATCACCGATCGGCGGCCCTATATATATAAAAAAAAAATTAATAATTACAAAAAGCTCACGATGCAAAATGAATATATATGCACAAAAGACGGGGGGGGGAGGGGGAAACAGGTACATCCATTCCCCATATGATATTCATGCAACATGCAAAAAGCGACAGAATTTTTAAGAAATTTTTTTTTTTTTTTTTAATGTCGGGTAAATAGAAAGTGATCGTAAGTCTTTGTCATCGTCATCATTCAACCGTCAAATTTTTTAAAACCATTTCCCCGCTCCGCCCCCCGCCCCCCTTAACAATACATCGAAGACATAAACCCGCGAAAATGAAAATTTTTTTTTAAGATTTATATTACCGGGTTTAATACTTACGACCAATTTTTTTCATCCGTGTATTGTTTGTTGTTTAAACAAACAACCGACGACAAACAATCGAAACAAACGAACGCATTTATTCCATTCCAAGATCGTGGAGGCAGAACAAAAAAAAAAAAAAAAAAAAAAAAAAAAAACAATCCCGGAAGAAGAGGACAACTTGAAATTCTTCTTAAACTTTTTTTTTTCCCCACAAAAGCAATCGGGTTCTATGAGGAAAACAAAGTGTGTGTCGGTCATGGAGGAAGAGGAGGATACCTGTGGGAGAGAGAAAGAAAAAGAGAGAGAGAGATGGGATGGACGTTTGTATTCTCAAAAGCAAACACAAGCAAACGAGGATCACGACATTTCTTTGTAAAAAAAAAAAATTTTCCCTTAAAAGCAACAAAAACGAAAACTCTTCAAACAGCGACAGCGGGCGCCCCAATTTTTTCTTCGTCTTCTCCTTATTCCAACCTTTGTAGATCTACCAAAGCGATCGCTGTTGGAAAAACTTATTAAATATAATAATAATAATATTATTTTTAAAAAAAAGCACGACGTGAGGACCAACGAAAGCGACAGAACGTGACGGTTTTGTTTTTTCCCCCTTGCCCCCCCCCAAACGTAAGGTTGTTGTTGTCTCACCTGAAAAAGGTATTTTGGGAGATAAATCCTTGTTACAATAATTGAAATTCTTGCAGCATTGAACGACGTAATACTCCTGTAGGTCGACACCGATTTCCAACGTCTTATCCGAGATGAGAGGGCACAACCATCCCAAATTTGGATAATCGGGGGGGAAAAGCTTGTCGCGATGAAAACACCTAGGGACATTTTTCACCAAAAACCGTATGTATAATCATCAAAGTTTTTCATATATATATAATACGCACACGCACACGCACACGCACAAACTGCGCGCGTTTATAAAAAACAAAACAAAAAGATGGAAAGGAAACATTTAAAGACGAATGTGACAATTTCCGGTTTTTTTACACAGTATCGACAGACAGAACAAACAAACAAAAAAAAAAAACATATCGAGATGGAGGAGGAGGAGGAGGAGGGTAAGGGGAGGGAGGTAGAGAGCCGATATCGAACTTTCGAGAATTGTCGATACGTCGACAATCAAACGATACGAAAACAATCAAACAATATAAAACGATTTCATTTTGTCTCTAGTTCGTTTGTTCGTTCGAATACGAAACAAACGACAAAACCATCAAAACAACCAAACAAAAGAAAAAAATGGCGACGAAAAAATTGAGCCGAAAACAAACACGAAACAAACAAACTTTGAGAAAAAGTCTCGAAGTTTGTAAAAAATTACAAACGAGTAAAAAGCGGAAACTATTTTTTTTTTTTTTTCCGCGAAAAAAGAAAAACGGAAGTGAATCGTTACTATTATTATTATTATTATTATGAGTGAACGACTACAAACAAAAAAATACCTGCACCACGACAAAAAATTTAATTACGAATAAAAAAACAAACAAAAAGAAAGAAAAAGAAAAACAAAAAAAAAAGAAAAGAAAAACAAAAATAAAAAAAAAGAAGTTAAACAAAAACTTTTCGTTTGTTTGTTTGTTTGTTTTCTTCCTTTCACACGCACTCACGCACGCACATTACGTAATGTTAACAACTACTTCCGAATAATAATTACAAAAAAATTAACCACAAAAAACAATCACAATCACAACAACAACAACAACACTTTTTTTCGTTTTTCTATTCGTTTGCTTTTTCCGTTTCGCGCGCGTTTGTTTGTTTGTTTGTTTGTTTGTTTGCGTGAGTAAATAAAAAAGAAGCTTGCTTTGCCTATGTCTATTTATATACAACAGAAAGTTTTTTTTTTGTCTTTTTTTTTTTTTCTCGTTTTGTTCTTGTGCAAATTTTATGAGCAAAAGCCTTAAGTAAAAACAATAAGAAAGACAGTAAGAAAGTAAGAAAAGAAAAGAAAAGAAAAGAAAAAAAAAATAATAATAATAAATAAAAAATGGCTGAAAAAAAAATTTATATATATATATATATGTACAATTTTCGTGTCTCCCCGCTAATTAGGATGCATATAACAATTTTTTTTTTTTCTTTTTTCCGTTACGTGAATTTTATGTATAAAAAAAAAAAAAAAAAAAAAAAAAAAACAAAACAAAACAAAACGTACCTTCTTTCCCGACATGTAGAGGTGGCCTTACGTCCCTATTACAATAGTCGACATCCTTACAACACACAACGACAAACGTTTCGTTTTTTTTGTCCGAATAATGACAAACAATCGGGTTGCCAGGAGGTTGGGAAACATTTGGCTCCACACAACTGCAGAAGCAGCATAGATGGCGGCATGGAGAAAACACATACAACGGATTACGGGAGGTTTAAAAAAAAAAAAAAAACAAAAAACAAAAACAATAGTAATAATGATGATAATGATATGATAATAATAATAATGATCGATTGTAAAATAAAATACCGAAATTAATAAATAAAAAGTTTCAGAGAGGCAGAGTGAGAGAGAGAGAGAGAGACAGAAAGAGGGGGGTGAAATCATATTATTAAAAAAAAAAAAAAACGTGGCAGAAGAATTCGCGATGGCATCGATACGATTTGAACCCATGATCGGTTCGGTTTCGTCGATCGCCATTTTGTTTATTTGCCTTTTCTTCTTCTTCTTGTATTTCAACACTTTTCCGAATGTTTCACAAAGCGAGATATCGTTTCGATTCTCGAAATCTCCGATAGTGAACCATTCGATTTTCGATAGAAATACGAAGAAGATAAAATTTATTTATTATTAAAACACAAAAAACAATTTTTCAAATCTAACAAGGACGGACGTGAGATTCCATATGAATAAACACGGTCGTGAAAATTTATTTAAAAAAAAAAAAAAAAAACGGGGGCGAGAGTTGATGTAAAAAAAACAAGAGAGTGTCTGATGTATCGAAACTGAGAGAGAGAGAGAGAGAGAGAGAGAGAGAGATGAAAAAAAAAACCGGAAGTAATACGTCATCAAATTTACATTTCCCCTAAATATTTTTATTAGTTGTGAAGATGATTTTTAACTTCTTTTTCTCTCTAACATAAAAGATTTTTAAAAGATGGTGGTTTGATGGGGAGAGAGAGAGAGAGAGCGAAAGAGGGGGAAAAGGGGGGGGGAAAGGTCAATATTTGGTTTTGTTGTGCTCTCAAATATAATCGTATTTTCTTTTTCTTTCCTTTCCTTTCTCTTAAATTTATTAATAAACAAAACAACAAAAATATGCACGAATATTAAACAAAAGTGATGACAAGCAATAATTGAGCAAAGGATATTTTTATACTTTTCATTTACTAATGTAAGAAAGCTATAAAATCATTTTTTTTTTTGAAAAAACGCGCCAAAAAGGACATTTAAAAAAAAAAAAAAAAACATTTCCGGTTTATCGATGGGCATCAGAAAGAAAGAAAGAAAGAAAGAAAGAGAGAAAAATGTGCAATTTAAACGTAAAAATAAAATTAATAAATAAGACTAATTAAACTAATAGTTTGTCGTGATACTTTTTTAACTTTAAGACACTAGGTTTCTGTACCTGTGTCAGGTACTTTTAAAAAGAATAATAATAATAATAATAATAATAAACGCACACGTTCAAGTGATGATTTTAATAAGCTAAAACAATTGATTCGTTTCCATTCATAAAAAATTACACACACACACACACACACACACACAAAATTCGAACAGTAACATATTGGTGCATGAAGCCTCACATTTGTGTGACATATACACAAACAAATACAAACACACTCACGCACTCACGCACGCACACACGCACTTTAATTTAAACGTAAAAAAAAAAAAAAGAAACAAAAGAAATTTTCAGCGTAGCGTACGAATAATCAACACTGTTAACAAAAAAAAAAGTTGTCAAATGATTATGATAATTACATAATTTTGTTTGTTTTTTTTTTTTTTTTTTTTTTTTTTTTTGACTAAAAGCATTAGAGCATGACTAGTCAATTGGTTTAACAGGTAATGAGACAAAATATATAAATCAATAATAATAATAATAATAATAATAATAATAAAACAATATAAGATAGAGATAAGTTTATCATCAATATTAGTATCACATCAAACTTTTGTTTAAAAAAACACATGAAAGTAGTAAAAAACCCACTAGTTAATAATTATTATTAATATTTCAAGGACAAATTCAGTCAGATTAAAGCAGGTACATAGATATAATCATCATGCTGCCAAAAAAAAAAAAAAAAAAAAAATTAATAATAAATAAAATAATCAAAAATCTACTACTGGATTTACATCTAAACAAAAAAACAGGCAGCAGATTTTTTTTAATATATATATATATTTAAATAAAAATATATATATATATATCTTCTTTTCGTCTAAAAATAACATTTAGAGTTTTTCATTTCATTTTGTTTTTGTTTAAAGAAAGAAAAAAGGGGGCAAACAGAGTACAGCTGTGTTCAGGGTTACTAAAGAATTAGAAAGAAAAAAAAAAAAAAAAAAAAAAAAAAAAGAAAAGAAACAAAATTAAATCGAAAAAAAAAAAAAAAAAGAAAATTAATCATGTTTGAAAACAGGACCACTCTTATCCTACCTGAAGGGGTACTTTCGTCGCTAGCTAATGTTGGCATAAGTTTTAAATTGCACCAATCTGAATCTTCACAACATAACACAGAGGATTGGTCGGGAACAATTGATGGTCGAGTACACCATCTACTCTCGTGGCCAAGAAGGAAATTTTTCTTCGCGAGGCAGCTTTCACCCCACAATGAAAATATCAATGTTTATTCATACTGAATCTCTCATTGTATGTCAAAAACTTTTCACTTATTAAATTATTGGTATTTTACAATGAGTAACAAATAATAAAAAAAAAAAAAAATTTGAATTTTATGAATAATCAATCAATCAATCATGTAATTCACACTTAAATCAAATTCATCTCGATATAGTTTTCATTAAAAATTTTATAATGAACCAAATTATTAGAATTACATCATTGATGATTTGGTCGAATATATATATATATAAAAACAACACCTACATATATAATAGTATGAGAATATTTTAATTACCTGTATGAGTGCCTGAGAATCCCTGTCGATTTTTCTAAGGATGTCGATGCGAAACACAATCCATCTGTTTCGCATGTAAAATTTGTGCTTTCGCATATGTCACAATGACATAAAAGCCCTAAAAAAAAAAAAATTACAATTATCAATAATGTTATCAATTTAAAATACATAAATAAGTTTCAATCAATACATAAATGAATTTTTTTGTCGTGGCATTAAATCATTTAATAACTTATTAACATACATAATGTTTATGATTTGAATTATCGAGTAAACATATTTTTAAGCAATTTCTTTCTTCTACCACGTTTCAAAGATTAGAGTAAAACAAAAGAGAAAATTAATAATAAATACATAATACATAAAATTTTAAATTAAATAATTAATTAACATCATAAATAATAACCCTACAACGATTTATTCCATATATATATATAATGCTCTTACCTTTGACTTTAAAAGCCTGAAGTAAAACGATAATAAAAAAACTAAATAAAAAATTGAGTAGTATCATTTTTTTTTTTTTTTTTATATAAAAATGCTAAGAAATGGAAAATAAAACAAAATAAAAAAATTGCGTAGAAACAAATCGTTCCATGATAAATTTTTTTTTTTTTTAAATAATATTCGGCACTAAGTTATCCCGTAAACAATGTGTCAGACCAACAATTTGCCGAGCAATCTGGATAACACATAACTCAAAATATAATTTTTATTTATTATTTACATACGATATTAACATTATTAATCATTTTGTATAATAATAATGATAATACGTCATTTAATATTTAATATAAACGATGATAAAATAAATGAAATCATATTGTTTTAAATGCAATTACTTATTAATACAGTATAAAAATAAATACGGCGTCTGCTTGATTTTCCTTTGAATTTTATTACCATTTACATTTAAAAAAAAATTTTCCATTGAATTTCACATCTCCCTTCCGTTTTATTTTATTGTGATTCATATTATTTTAGTTACCTTCAGAGTTTTTTTTTTAAATATTTTTTATTGATCAATTATCGTTTCCATTTTAATTTTTTTTTTTCGTTAACATTCCCAAAATATCTATTCGTATGTGAACATCATCAACCTTTTTCATTTTTTTTTTTTTAATAATAATAATAATAAAAAAAGTAAAATTAATAAGTAAAAAAAAAAAAAAAAAAAAAAAAAAAAAAAAATGGAATTCAACTTTAACATCAACAACTTTTTCAAAGATGAAATCACCAAAGTCGGATCCAGACTCATACCTGATAATTTTACAGGAGATAGAAGAGAAGTTCAGTAAGTTAATTATTATTATTATTTTAAATAATCATTATTATTTTTTGAATCAAAATCATTACGTTAAAATACGTGTCATTGAAGCGTATGGTAATTTTGACGTTTCTTCAAGGTTAAATGATGATAGTTTTTGTCACATTATTATTATTATTATTATTAAAATAAACAGTTTAAACGTTGAGAAAAAGGAAAAGAATCAAATTATTAATAATATTTTATTTTAGGGATTGTTTATCTAAAGTGAGTTATGTATTAACTATCCTTGGTGAAAAATCAGCAAGAGCTCAAGGTCTTCAAAAAGTTATTACAAGTGGAGAAAAACTTAGAAATTCAGATCATATTGTTTATATATTAATCGATCCGAAAGGTGGTTCCAAGTAGGTTTCTCTTCATTTTAATTTTACTGCCAATTATTTATTTAAATATAAAAAAAAAATAAATAAATAATTTTTTAATTCAAAGGGGTTATGGAACAGTTTTGGGAATGTTAAAAATGGGTTTAAAACATTTATACGTATTCGATACTGGAGGAAACAATCATGAAATAACAACAAAATGCGTTTTGGATTTTTATGTTCACGAATCAAAACAAAGAATGGGGTTGGGAAAAAAATTATTTGAATATATGTTAAAGGTAAGAAAGAGAATCAAATTACTATCAAAAGTAGTGAAAGGGCCTTAGAAATTTTTTATGCATCTTAATCGATATTAATGATTTTTTTTATCAATTTTTTTTTTATGCGATATCTTTTCTAAAATTATCTCTTCCCTATAACCTTGTAAATAATCTACGACTACTAGTAAATATTATTATCATTTGCAATTTTTTTTTTGTCTTCTGCTTTGAAATAACAATTTTTATGGATCATTAATTTTAAGGTTTAATCTTTTTAAACGCATACATTATAACTCACACACACCTTTCGCATAAAGTCGTAACATGTTTAATATATTTTAATGGTAATGTGTTTGATCCATTTCCTGCCATTATGTTTTTTCAATAGTTGAGTACTTCCTGTTTTCTCTCTCTCTCTCTCTCTCTCTCTGTCTCTCTCTCACACACTCTTTCTTCTATTTAAAAAATCCCATGACCCTCAAATACATTCAAAAACTCGACACGAAAAAACGTAATTAAAATAATATAAAAAAAAAAAAGAAAGAAAAAAGTTTTTTTTTAAATTTCAAATTTTTTTTTTTTTTTTCAAAATCAATGTCGAGGATTATTATTATTATTATTATTTAAATGACGTGCAATTTCCACGTCTCAAAAATTTTTCTTCACTTTCTTTGTTCGTGAAAAATAATAATAATAATAACACGGTGAAAATTTTTTCTTTTCTTTCTTTCTTTTTTTTTAGTAATAATTTGCATACAATTGATCGATCGATACACACATGAAAAAACGATAATAATAATAATTTTAGCACGGGTTCAACGTGTAATTTTATTAATTAAAATTGTTTTGCTTGTTTTCAGGAAGAAAAAACCGAACCTGTACATTTAGCTATAGATAAACCATCTCCAAAGTTTTTATCATTTTTAAATAAACATTACGGATTGCAAAATATAATACCGCAAATGAATAATTTTGTCGTTTTCGAAGGATTTTTCACCGGACGATCATTTGGTAAAAGTCAAAATCAAAAAAAAAAAATTATTTTTTAACCTGAGACTAAAATTATTATTATTATTACTACTACTACCACCACCACCACTACTACTACTACTACTACTAGTACTACTATCATCATTATAACACGCATTAATGTTATTAAATCGGTTATGGAATTATGATAACCTACAATTATTATTATTAACAATTTGATTAAAAAGAAAGTGATAATGATGATAAAGAAAAAGTTGAAATTTCGATTATTATTATTATTATTATTATGAAAGGGAAAATAATCGATCGTCGCGTATCCGATTTTGTAATTTTTTAAATGATTTTTAATTTAAAAGAAAAAAAAAAAAATGGTGAAAAAAAACTTTTGTCATTTTTTTAGGAGAAGATGCAGAAGAAAATTCAAAATTATATTCATCTCGTATAAGTAATATTAATAGTACGTATGGAAATCGATATAAAAGGTTTGTTAAATAACGTTTTATTATTATTATTATTATTATTCTTTTTTTTTTTTTTTTTTTTTTTTTTGAAATTGTTCATGATGATGATGATGACGGTGATGATGATGACGATGACGATGATGATTTGATTTTGGAAAAAAAAAAAAAAAAAAAAAAAAAAAAAAGGAAAATTCAAGGAGCGGATTAAGGGACCCTCGTTTATACATTACCCTCGTTACGTGAATTATAAATGATTTTAATTCGTGCAATAATCGTCGATGGTTTATTATTATTATTATTATTATTATTATCATTATTATTTTAGTTCTTAACTTATCGTGATTATTTTAAATGTCATGTTTTTTCCTTTCGTGATTTTGTTTTTCTTAATAATAATAATAATAATAATAATAATAATAAATCGATATTATTAATTTAATTTGAAAAGAAAAAGTTTGAATAACTTTCTGAACATTTTTTTTTTTTTTGTAATTTTTAATAATTAACTTTAACTTTTTTTTTTTAGGGGGGGGGTTTACGAAAGCTCATCACAAACTCTAATAATTAATCCTAACTATCTAATTATATATTAATTAAATTAATTAATTAAAATTATTTACAATATCGTAATATCATCGCGCATATTGTGGTTTTATTATTATTATTTGAATCGTAAAAAAATTGTCATTTACTCGAGATTATATTATTATTATTATTATTATTATTATTACCAACCATTTTCTAATGTAAATAATAATAATAATAATTAACACGCGCGCATTTTTTCGAACTCATTTTTTTTTTTTGTTTTTTTTTTTTTTTTTGCAGTTAACGGTAGCAAAAAAAAATTAAAATTAAAAAAAATGGATCTATGTCGTCACACCGACGGATTCTTTTTTTTTTTAATGGTATCATTATCATTATTACTATTATTATTATTATTATTATTATTACGAAAGTTTTTTTTTCCGACCGTAATTACGTTTTTTGCGTGCGAACAAAATAGCATTTATATTTTTTGTAATGGTCGTCGAACCCTTTCATTTTTCGACCGAAAAAAAAAAAAAAAAAAAAAAAATTAAGAAAAAAAAAATTTCTAAAATTTAATTTTCGAAAAGTAGAACGTAATAATAATAATGATGATGATGATGATGATGATGATGATGATAACAAAGAAAGAGAGAGAGAGAGAGAGTCCGTTACTATTACTATTACTATTTTTTTTTTCGACTGACAAAATGTCACTTCTTTCTTTCTTTCTTTTTTTTTTTTACCATTCGTGAGTTTAGAAAGTTTTTAAAAGTTTTAATTTAAAAAGAAAGAAAGAAAGAAAAATAAAATAGTAATAATAATAATAATGATAATAATTCTGAAGTTTTTTTTTTTTTACATGAACCGCAAAAGAAATTCAAACGTTTTTGAGAAAAAGAAAAAAGTGTGTTGTTGTTGTTAATTTAAAGTTGAATGTAATAAAATTTGATTGTTAATTCTCTCTCTCTCTCTCTCTCTCTCTCTCTCTCTCTCTCTCTCTCTCTCTCTCTCTCTCTCTCTCATTTGTGGTTTTGTTTTGTTTGTTCAGAAAGTAAATATGAAAAAAAAAAAAAAACGGTAAATTAATTAATGATGATGATGATGACGATGATACCATCGCGGATTCGAATTTAAAAAAAAAAAAAACAAAACAAAAGTGGAATCGAATTTATTATTATTATTATTATTATTATTATTATTATTATTATTATTGTTATTCTTATTATTATTATGATTATAGCGGATCTTCAAGGTGCTCAACACAATCACAGTCACCGACACAACACCACCAAACGTCTCCTTCAATCAATTTAAACATGTCTTATTACGGAAGACAAGCTCTTCACAAACCGGTTTCGACAATGGGAATGGTGAGTAGTCCCCCCTCGATTAGTATTATTATTATTATTATTATTATGTATTTATAAAAAGTCGGAATTGATTATCTTTGTTTTGTCCCCCCCCCATTTTAGATACTACAACACAAGCCGGCACCTAGTCAGACACCTCAAAATGGAAGCAACAGGTACAGGGACGTACTACCCGTGGTTTACCACTCTTAACGTCAGCTTTAATAATTATTATTATTATTTTTTTTTTTTATTACTATTACTATTACTATTATTATTATTTTATTTTTTTTATTTTTTTATATATATATACACGCACACACAAACACGCTCGCGCGTATATATATACACATACATGCATAAAAATTTTAATTGATTGATTGATTATTATTATTTTTTAATTTTATTATTTTACAATTTTTTTTTTTTTTTTTTTTTTTTATTTGGAATGACACACGCGAAGCATGAAGTTTAAAAGCGTGTAAATTATTATTATTATTAATATTGTTATTATTATCATTATCGTTTTTGCACCGACGGAAAACTTTTTCCCACGCTTGATTTGCTTTTTTTTTATACATGCATACATAAAAAAATTCGATTTTTTATTTGATTAAAAGAAAACAATATGGCGGAGAGATTAGATCAAAGAATAAAATCGATTCGAAAAGAAAAAAAAAAATTTCTATTATTATTATTATTATTGTCATTATTAACTTTTAACGTCTTTCATCGACCCGGTAAAACAAATTTTTTAGCTTTAATTTTCAATAAGAGTTGTGATGAATTATTATTATTATTATTTTACATTAACTCTGCTTTAAATATATGTATATATATTATTCGCATTGTATATTATTATTATTATTTTTTGATTTACATTAAACGAAAAAGTATTATTATTATTATCATTATTATTAATTATTTTTTATATATATATATTGTAATTTTATTTTATTTTTTTTGTTTGTTTATATTATTTGCACGAATTATTATTATTTTTTATAATTTATTAACCAAATTTATATACATAAAGAAGAAAATTATTATTATTATTATTATTGTTTTTTTATTATTATTATTATTGTTGTTGTTGTTAAAGCCTGTTTTTTTTTTATTTTCTCTCTCGTTCGCACATTTGAAATAAAATATATATATATTACCAAAAAAATTATGTATATTTTTTATTTAAAAAAAATTATTATTATTATCTTATTCAAAAGAGCTTCTATCACGAGTAGTAGTAGTAGTAGTAGTTGATAATGATAATAAAAAAAAACCGTTAAACGCATTCTGGAATGCTATTTATTTATATTGTTTGTAAATAAAGG